TGCAAGCATTAAACCAACATGCTCACTTAGGGGGGACATGCTTGTCATTGGTGATAACACATGTGATGCAAGTTCCTTTAAAGGAATACTCCAAGTAACCACTACAGCCCACTACAGTGGTTTTGGTACTTGAAGTGTCCTGGTGCAGTCCCCGACAACTTTCACAACTATGTGCCCTTCACCGACTCCTCTGCAGCCAGAAGCTACTGCACTGCGCTACTGCAGATGACTTCCTAATCTGAGAGTGCGCCAGGGCATTATTAGTGCCATAGCCACTACTACAGCAGGCTGTAGTGGTTATGGTGTTTGGAGTTTTGCTTTAAATTACGTTGGTGCCCAAAGTGCTCTTTTAACAACCTATGCTGTTTGCATAAATCATAGTGCAAGAAAGTCAATGTCTGTGTGACCATAAAACATAATTACTTATAACTGGTGCAATTTTCAGGGATTCGCCTATTCATTACAGCACTGGGTTAACACCTCACACCGTAATGATGCTTGATCTATACTTTTTTTTACATGTTTCAATGCAGCTACATTTTAGGATCTTTTAGGATTCTTTTTTAAGCCAGTATTCCTATGTTGACATTTGTAAGTGAATCTAGTTTTCTTAATCTTCCTTTAAAGTAGTGGTTCCCAAACTGTGTGCAGCGGTGCCCTGGGGCACCACGACAGGCACACAGGGGCGTGCGGAATGTTTCCCCGGTGCTATAATAGTACCGGGGAAACATTACTGCTGAACAGGGGCCTTGTAGGGTGTACAGCCTGTCACTTCCTCCCAGCGTCATGCAGGGAGACAGCGCGTGAGGGAGAGAAGGCAGCCGCAGCATGAGGGCAGAGAAGCAATAAGAGCTCCAGACCCCTCACTCCCAGCAGCAGCAGCAGCAGGACTCCAAGCCACCCTCCTGGACACACAAAGTAAGCTAACAGGAGGGTGGCTGGAGATATTAAAAATATTGTGTGTGTGTGTGTATGTATGAGTATGTGTGTCAGGGTGTATCTGTGTGAGTGTGTGTCAGGGTGTGCTTCTCTGTTAGTGTGTGCGCAAACATCTGTGTGTCAGAATATGCCTCTGTGAATGTGCATGTTTTTAGGTCAGTGTATGTATCTGTTTCATGGTGTGTGCATGTATCAATGTTTGTCTGTGTCAGGGTTCGTGTGTTAAGATGTTTGTATGTGTCAGTGTATGTGTTGGTGTGTATCTATGTGTGTGTATGGGCCGGTGTCTATATAATTTTGTGTGTACATATATCTGTGTAAGTATATATGTATATATGTGGTAGTGTACGTGCATACATCCAGGCAGTCATAGTCCAGCACAACATACAAATACACTCCTGCAATCTAACACAAATATTACATACAAACACACCCCTGCATTCAAACTCCGACAGGATATGCAAACACATTCCTTCACTCAAATGTACACCTGCTTTTAAAAGTGAACATAACATTCAAACACACCCCTGCAATCAAATGCAAACATTACATACAAACACACCCCTATAATAAAACACTAAAACAATATACAAGCACCCCTTCAAACACCAAAACTGTACATTACACTATGGCGGACAGTAAGGGCTGCAGCGCTGTACTGATATACAACCTAGAAATTTTGACTTGGGGTGCCTTAGAAAAATATTGAAATATTAAGGGCACCTTGAACCTAAAAAGTTTGTGAACCACTGCTTTAAAGCATTGTTTATGAGTTATATTATTATTATTATTATTATACAGTTGCAAGAAAAAGTATGTGAACCCTTTGGAATGATATGGATTTCTGCACAAATTGGTCATAAAATGTGATCTGATCATCATCTAAGTCACAACAATAGACAATCACAGTCTGCTTAAACTAATAACACACAAAGAATGAAATGTTGCCATGTTTTTATTGAACACACCATTTAAACATTCACAGTGCAGGTGGAAAAAGTATGTGAACCCCTAGACTAATGACATCTCCAACAGCTAATTGGAGTGAGATGTCAGCCAACTGGAGTCCAATCAATAAGATGAGATTGGAGGTGTTGGTTACAGCTGCCCTGCCCTATATAAAAAACACACACCAGTTCTGGGTTTGCTTTTCACAAGAAGCATTGCCTGATGTGAATGATGCCTCGCACAAAAGAGCTCTCAGAAGACCTACGATTAAGAATTGTTGACTTTGCTGCACGTTTACAGTTTGCACAAGAGCACCTGGATGTTCCACAGCAGTACTGGCAAAATATTCTGTGGACAGATGAAACCAAAGTTGAGTTGTTTGGAAGAAACACACAACACTATGTGTAGTGAAAAAAAGGCACAGCACACCAACATCAAAACCTCATCCCAACTGTGAAGTATGGTGGTGGGGCATCATGGTTTGGGGCTGCTTTGCTGCGTCAGGGCCTGGACGGATTGCTATCATCGAAGGAAAAATGAATTCCCAAGTTTATCAAGACATTTTGCAGGAGAACTTAAAGGACCACTCTAGGCACCCAGACCACTTCAGCTTTATGAAGTGGTCTGGGTGCCAGGTCCCTCTAGGATTAACCCTTTTTTTTATAAACATAGCAGTTTCAGAGAAACTGCTATGTTTATACTGAGGGTTAATCCAGCCTCCAGAGCCTCTATTGGCTGTCTCATTGACAGCCGCTAGAGGCGCTTGCGTGCTTCTCACTGTGAAAATCACAGTGAGAGCATGCAAGCGTCCATAGGAAAGCATTGTAAATGCTTTCCTATGCGACCGGCTGAATGTGCGCGCGGCTTCTGCCGCGCATGCGAATTCAGCCGATGACGTCGCGAGCAAGGAGGAGAGGAGGAGTACAGCTCCCCGCCCGGCGCTGGAGAAAGGTAAGTGTTTAACCTCTTCCTCTCCCCAGAGCCGGGCGGGAGTATGTTTTCCTGGCACTATAGTGGTCCTTTAAGGCCATCTGTCTACCAGCTGAAGCTCAACAGAAGATGGGTGTTGCAACAGGACAATGACCCAAAACATAGAAGTAAATCAACAACAGAATGGCTTAAACAGAAGAAAATACGCCTTCTAAGTGGCCCAGTCAGAGACCTGACCTCAACCCGATTGAGATGCTGTGGCATGACCTCAAGAAAGCGATTCACACCAGACATCCCAAGAATATTGCTGAACTGAAACAGTTCTGTAAAGAGGAATGGTCAAGAATTACTCCTGACCGTTATGCACATCTGATCTGCAACTACAGGAAACGTTTGGTTGAAGTTATTGCTGCCAAAGGAGGTTCAACCAATTATTAAATCCAAGGGTTCACATACTTTTCCACCTGCACTGTGAATGTTTACATGGTGTGTTCAATAAAAACATGGCAACATTTCATTATTTGTGTGTTATTAGTTTAAGCAGACTGTGATTGTCTATTGTTGTGACTTAGATGAAGATCAGATCACATTTTATGACCAATTTGTGCAGAAAGCCATATCATTCCAAAGGGTTCACTTACTTTTTCTTGCAACTGTAATTAATAATATTTGTAAAACACCAACAGATTTGCTCTGTACAATGGGTGGATTAACAGACAAGTATTTCTAATCAGACGAGTTGGACGCACAGGAACAGATGGGGTTGAGGGCCCTGCTTAAATGAACTTACATTCTTATAAATGTTAATGTACATTCTTTCCGGTTTTCTAGTTCTACAACACTACCCATTTATAATTCCTTTGTAGAGAAACTCATTGGCTCACCATTTTCAAAATAGTTTCTGTTTCCCACCAAATTTTGTAAGAATAAACATGTGCCCTTTGAGGAAACCCCTCTGAAGCTGAAATATTAACCACAAACAGTTTCTGCAAATAAGTTTCAATACAAATGTATGGTAAATAAGATAAAATTAAAGGAACACTATAGTGGTCTCACTTACATGGATGAGATTATTAATCTCGATGATCTCAGCGAATCCAAGGATTTCCCATAGGAAAGCAATGGGAGACTATTGCTCATGTGCGGCAAAATGATGCCCTGCGTCAATCAGTATCTCCTCATAGAGGCGCATTGAATCAATGCATCTCTATAGAAAGTATTCAGCAGCTCCATTCCGAGTGCAGAGACACTGAACGTAGGTCCTGCAAACCCAGGAAGTCCCTCTAGTGGCTGTCTGAGTGACAGCAATTAAAGGTGTTACCTGGCAGCACTGTGAACACTGCCTTTTTACTTAAAAGTCAGTGTTTACATTGAAAAGCCTGTACAGACAGGCTATAGACATCAGAACCACTACATTAAGCTTTAGTGGATCTAGTGTTTATAGTGTCACTTTAAATATGGATAAAGTGCCCTGTTCATTATATATGAATTAGATATGGCTTAAGATTCTGTGATATATGTTTGGCAGGATAGGGCCAGCCAATGAAAATAAAACACAAATGAGCACATCGCTTCACATTTACTGCAAAGAGACATGCACTATTATATACTTTTCCTTATCTCATTGTGTTAATTTTTTTGATAAAATGTTACTCTATAATGACCACTTGAACTTGTTAAAGTGGTTATAGTACAAGGACCCCGTATATGCAGTGTTTAATCTTGAAACATTCAGTCCTAAAACTTTTACCTTATTTACGCACAATCTGATTCAAATAGACTCCACCCCATAATCACTTACATCCCATTTAGCCGTCCAAGTACTTGTATGGAAGGTGCATGCTGTACCTGCTCACTCTGTTCAGATCAGTCTCCCTCACTTGCAGGAACGTGGAGAATATGTGCAAAAAGTTATTTAACAAATCTGATATTAGGTAACTATTAATCCAAATGTTGGACACTAATAAAGAAAGGTCAGGGACTAGAGAGCAGAAATTTTAATTCAGAATGTTGGCCAATGGTGCCAAGCTGCAGTGGGATGGCACATATCGAGCAGTGAACAAAATCACAACCAGTTACACAATTAGTGAAATGTTTTGTTAGAATAGCACGGAATATGTACCTTCTTTATTAAAGGAACACTCAAATACATTTTTTTAACGTTTTTATTAGGAGTAAAAGTGGTTTACAAGTCATTGTATATCAAACAGTATGTGGCTTAACAGTATAAACAAAAAAATAAAAATAATAATAATTACAATGCATTCTAGGTATAGGCACGGATGAAAGCATCACATAAATGTAATAAACATTATAACAACATATACAAATGCATCCTATCTTCCTTTCATTTTAATGTACTTCTATTTCCTTTTTTTAGTGTTGATACCATTGCCAAAATCACTTGTCTGGTCAAATAAAATTACTTGTGAAATATGGGTGGAAAAGGAACAAAAATCTAAACTAAACAAATAATAGGGAAAACTAAATAAAATATAATAATTTAGGCGTTAGAGAAAGAAGAAGAGGGGGAAAAAAGGGTAAGGGTCATAACATAACAGATTAGAAATAAGAGAAAATGATTTGTCACTCGGGTCAGGACCCAATGGGCTACCAGTTAGCCCCAAGAATCTCATAAGACCTGACATTATTCCCAAATTTTAGGCTGCGTATCTAGGGTACCTTGAAGCCTGGCAGTCATTTTCTTTATTTTGTAAATAAATCTTAATTCATTCTAAAAGTACCTTAAATATCGGAGTTTATCATTTCCAACATTTTGCTATCCACAGTCTTAGAGCAGTTTACTAAAGAGTTCATGAGGAACCACCAAGATTGTAAAAATTTTGTAATGCCATGAGGGGTTCTGGTGTAAAACAGATGCCAGTTATTTCACTCACAAGATTAAAACCTTTAACCAAAAAACATTGTGTGCTTGGTGTGTGTATGTGAGGGGCTTCATGTGGTATTGCATGTGAAAGGCTGCTGCTTGTGGGGTTGCGTGTGTGTACGTGGATTGTCAGTGGTGTTGTGTTTGGGACTGTGTGTTTGTGTGTGTGCTGTTTGTATAATTTGTATAACGGGGAGGCGTATCCTGCAGCTCTTTATATCTAGCAGTATGAGTGGCTTCCCTGGGGTCCAGTAGGGATGGCCAGGTTCAGATCATGACTAGGAGCTGCAATAGCTGCTGCAGGGAGCTTTATTCCATTGTGGAGTCCTGTTCACAAGTGCTGGGAGGAAGTTTTCTAAGATCACTTCGTGTTAGTGCAGCAATGCATAAACTAAGGATTGTCCATCACCTCCTTTTTGCACTAGCAGATAGGCCAGACCATGTTTGACTCAAGCAGCCTTGAGTGCCGTGCAAAGGCACCTTGAGTGCCATAGGTTGCTGACCCCTGTTATATAATAAAAAGAAAAAATAGAGACCATCATTGAAATTAGACAGATTTCTAATCTGAGTATAGTAAAATAGGTTAAACTAAGCTATACATACAGTGCAAATTTACATTGCTGATGTATAAATAGATAGGGTAGTTTCCATTGTTTTTGTTAATTAACATGCCCTTAAATATATAAGTAAACACATAACAAAAAAAATTTCCATCAGCAACAAAATTAGAAATTCTTTGCTCCTTGAAATGTGCTCATGAGGTTTATGTTGCTTGGAGTAAAATGTTGCCTAGTAATAGAAAGTACTAAGGACTGAAACATTTTTCATGTATTCTTTGAGATCTGTTCACCAGAGTTATCATTGTCTAATGGGACTTATTCACTAAACCAAAAAAAAATCGCCATATCCACAAATTGCCCACCTCCTGTTATTTTTCCAATATTTTTTTGGAACTATTTTTGAAATAAAATGGTAAATTCCCTTGGAAATTAAAAACAGTTCCTGGTTTAGAATTTGCTCTGGACGTCCTTGTTTCTCTCTGTTAGAGTTTACAAAAGGCACATGGGTGTGTAAACATCTTTTCAAATAAATGATGGTGTAGAGATTTACAGGAAATGTACACATACAAAAGAGCTATGAAATAGTATTCAATCCTGAGGATTTTATAAGAGAATCATATCCTGTTAAAAGAGGACATTTCTAAAAAATAAAAATAAAAACACAGCAGAACCTAGAGATTCAGATATGTATGTTTCCTTTTTATTTCTTTAATGTGGGGAAAAAAAAAGAAAAGGGAGGAGATTATACAAATACGTGGAATGTCAGGAGATCCTACATTTATATTCACAGGTGGGTTATTCATTCAACCAGCAATTATTTGAAATTTTGCATTTTAGGAAAAAATAGCCAAATTGTAAAACAATTCCAAATAGATAGGTATTGTTCCCTCCTTCTCCCCCCATGTGAAGGAAAACGATAGTTGACTTACTTTTTCTCAAACTTGATGATCTCACCTAATCCAGTGTTTTTGGCCTGGGAGTTTATAGTGCCCATAGCCATGGTGTAATATTTTTGGATACATTTTAAAATGATTTAACATTTCGTATTTTAATATTTTTTACATATATTGATATATTTTATAAATACAATATATTTTGTATATTTTAAAATATTGAAAAAATAATTTTAAAGAAAAATATTATATAATTTTAAAAGCCTATACAAAAATACTAAATAACTTGAAAAGCGTATCCAAACATATTAAATGGAAGCCCATGTATCTACTAGCTTTGGAGACACTTTGTAATTCTTCTGCAATGTTTTATATTTATTTTTGCAATTTAGAATTTATTGCTGAAGCAAGAAAATTGCCTGGCAAAAATAATGCAAGAACTGTACAGAAACCAAAAAGTATTGTTGAGGGTATTAATAATACATAGAAGTGTAAGCCGTTTAAAGTTGACAATGAAAACCCACTATAATAAAGGCAGAAGAGGGATGGTAAGGAAACTACAACAAGGGGGAGGAAGAAGAATAAAAGAATGCAAAACAGAGAGAGAAGGTGAAGGACACTGAAAACAATATAGAACATCTAGCCAATGGTCTCATTATTAATAGAACAGAGTAGGAGATCCTAAAACTTAAATAAATCACTTCTACTTACCTTTATTCCCATACTGCACTAATCTCACTTTGGCCACTGCTCCACTTAGCCAAGATCATGAGTGCACATATCAATTAATCAAATTATTCCCCATAGGGAAATATTGGGGGGCACCCACTGTAAAGTGCTGCGGAATTTGTTGGTGCTATATAACTAATAACATAATAATAATAATAATAATAATAATGTGTGGCAATAACCAAGCCTTGCCAATCAGTATACTCACTCGCATTTGACATCTATATCAGGAATGTGAATTGCCTCTAGTGCCTGTTTGAGTGACAGCCACTAGATGTGACCTCAGGGACAAATGTAAATACTGACTTTTTTCAGAAAAGTAGTGTTTACAATTGTCAGACTACATGGAGAGATTCTGAAATTCCCAGCAATTCTACCTTTAGTAGAGAGTAACCTTTTTAATTTGAGATTTCAATGTGGGTGTGTAGCGCACCCTTCCATTATTATTAGAATAAGTCTGGTAACAAAGCCAGTGGTATCAGATACTCTCTTTACAACAGTGGCTGAAAAAGTAGAAGCAATAGGTCTATAAAGGACCGAACTTCCCACTATTCACAGTATGCACCGGCATACAGGTGTCTGTCCTCTAGGGGTCTCCTATTTACAGCATTGATAATGTGCCTTTTTAGAGCCTAGGTGGGCTGGTAAGGGGAGATATGTACCAGGAGCCTTGGCTGGTGTCCTCTTTAGCCCAGTCAGGACCCTATAAATGATAAGAGAGCTGCAGGAAAGTTATAGATGATCTCACCTAATCCAGTGTACTGGCCTAGGTGCCTTTAGTGTCCATGGCCACAATTTAATATTTTTGGACAGAGTGTATTAAACTCAGTGCTGTCCCAGCTATTGCAAATTTGAATAGAAAGTGGAAAATATCACTTCCCATCTGCCCATTAGCAGTCTTTCACACAAGTAATACCTTGTAGGAGGAGGGGGGACCACACTGTGTGATGCACACTGTATAATAGCTTCTGTGGTTCTACGATCAATCATACAAGGGCACTTTGCAAATAACCATTCAAATATCACATGTTTGTACTCTAAACAACCCCTTTTCCATAACCCTAAATTTAACTCCTCCCAAAATCTAAATAAACTCTTTCATTGGCCCACAAAGTAAGCACTAAAATCATATGCCTGACACCAAAAGCCTTTACCTTAAAACTAGGTTTAACTCCTCTTAAAAATTAAACACATGTACCCCAATACTCAGTTTAACCCCACTCTGATCCAAACCTAATAATTCTAAACACACATTATACCACAACTGTAACCACTATCAAACTTTTAATCCTCTTAACACTAAACACCTTATGTAATTTAACTCTAATATCAACCCCTCACTGACCTTAACCCTTTACCCTAACCACTTCTAACATTATTTTAACAAAAAAAAATGTTAGAAGATAAAAGAGAAGTGATTCCAAATGAAAAGACCAAGAGGGGAGAAAAGACATAATACACTCCCTCTAGTACAAGACCATGGAAGTAAAAAAATCTGGATGCACAGATTGCGTACACTGGAGCCGACTGGACTTAATGTGGATATAGATTTTCGTTTGCTTTTTATAGGGTATAGATTTTAGACTTCCACGGTCCATTTATTAATATTGATTTATTTATTGATTTGTGGTCCCTGAGGAAGTTCCCACCAGGGAACGAAACGCTTAAGCCCTGATTCACGGACATTTTGGATTTTTTATTCTTTTATGAATTGTTTTATTTTGAATAAAATCTATTTGATATTACCTACTTACCTTGTTCCTGGTTCCTGTTTGAGAGAAGGGAAAACAAACATTTTTTGTTGGGGGAACTCCCTTATTATCTTCTCGTTCTCCTTATGGATGTTCATACAGTAAATCCTGTCCGACAATGTTGTCCATATCCCCATGTATACTTAAAATTTCTTATATAAATTTTTCCAGCAAACTGCCCTACAGATGGTTGGTTCATATCACATATATACTCCTTTCAAGACTCGCACACAATTGACCCAGTATTGGTCCGATACCTGCTCTAGAACCAGGGTCCCACAAGGACTCCCACTGACACTTCACACATAGCACTCCTGGTGAGTACCTGTGAGAGTCAGTTTATACATTTTTTTATGTTGGTCCAACTACTTGGAGCTGTACATTTTTTGGCTTTATAATTTATTTTCTATTTTTTTACATTTTCTTTTTTTAATTTTAAATTTTTTTTATTCTTTATTATATATTTATTTACTTTTGTTATTTTTTTATATTTTGTATTTTATTTATTTATTTTAAGTTTGTTTATTTAGATTTTTTTTTAATTTTCACTTTTATATCTTTTATTTTTAATTTGTTATTTTTTTTGCTCCTTTTTCTGCCTTTACTTTCACTAATTATGACTCTACTCGGGACAGATCTTAAGTTCCTCTTCCAACATTATAATATTAAAACATTTTTACACTTGAAAAAGACTTTATTGGTGAAACTAGTTGTGTATAGTGATGTCCCGAACGGTTCGCCAAACGGTTCGCTACGGACGGTGAACATATGCGCTGTTCGGTCCGCACCCTATTCGTCATCATTGAGTAAACTTTGACCCTGTACCGCACAGTCAGCAGACATATTCCAGCCAATCAGCAGCAGACCCTCTCTCCCAGACCCTCCCACCTCCTGGACAGCTCACTAAGAATGCAGCTTCACAATGAATGTAAAATGGATGCTGTCCAGGAGGTGGGCGGGTCTGGGAGGGATGGTCTGCTGCTGATTGGCTGGAATGTGTCTGCTGACTGTGAGGTACAGGGTCAAAGTTTACTCAATGATGACATAGGGGGCGGGCCGAACAGCGCATATGTTCGCCGTCCGTGGCGAACCGTTCGGGACATCACTAGTTGTGTAACATTGTAACATTTATCTTTTATTTCTTTTAAGCATTAAAGTATATTTGGTTTTAATTCACTTTGTTGTATAAGACCATGTATTACACTTTGTATGCAAAATTAATAGGTAGAAAGTTTAATTATTTATAATGGACTAACACATTCTGTAGTGCTAATCAATGTAGAAAAAAAAGACTAATTTAAAAAAAATAAGTTTTGCATACAGAGTCTAGTTCACATCTGCTTACAATCTAAAGGATGTTGGATACAATTATTCTGGAGGTTTTATTTTTATTTTTTTGTAAATAAAGCTTTTATTAGCAGTTCAGACAATAACAGATAGCAGAGCTTATATCGTCAGTGAGACTCGCAGGTCTCCAATTGCGTCTGACACAAGTACCGCCGATTTTAGATGAACCTTTATAGAACGTTATCGGAAGCAGATGACCGCTGGCCCACATCAGTGAGGGCCGTACAATTCTATAGCTGAACCTCAATCAAATGGTGAGTGGTGCGGTAGGTCCCAGGTCACGTCCTCGTACATGGGGAGTGGGAAAGGGGTCGGTTTGCGGGATCGGGTCCTATAGTCGTGCACCTGGTCTGGGGCTCCCTTTCCTGTTGTATTTTCCTTAACTTTGGTGGTGCCTAGGTATGTTGCGGGTTCTCTCCCGGGTCAGCTACCCTCTCTCCCAGGGTCCGCGTCCACCCCCCCCCCGCCGCGAGGCGGGCCATCATGGCGGGAGGGTGGGGAGCGCCCAGCGGCCTGGCCAGCTGTCTCTGTCGCATTGCTTACTTGTGGTCGGTCATCGTTATCATGCTTCAGTCGCTGTCCACGTGTGGTATCTATGGTGTGTCTGGAGTGTTTCCCCCCTCGGATGGGGATGGTGTGATGTCTCAGTGCTCAGTTGTATCGGTCATCCAGAGTTGGGTTGTGTTTGCTGTTTATTGTAGGAGTTCCCACGTCATGGGACCCCTCTGAGTCAATTGAGCGATGTCTCGTTGGGCCCACGTCCCTTAGGGAAGTCGTGGTGCCTTCTCGGGCTCAAATATATCGTGGCCCTGTTGTGCCAGGCGGTCCCCGGTCTCGCCCGGGGAAAGAGAGAGGGAAGAGGAGGGGAAAGATAGGTGTGGGTGGGAGTGTGTAAGGAGGGAGGTCTGGAAGGTGTGGGGCATAGCTATGGTGTGGCATGAGTCCGTCCTGACTCCCGAGTTAGTCCATCAGGGCAGGTCTGGTTGAGGTGGGGGAGGGGGGAAGAGGGTGATTGTGTAAAGATGCGCGTGTTGGTCCAGCTGTCTAGGGTCCCCGTGGAGACCCATCCCCTATCCTTGTTGTGACGTGTATAAGTACCATGGCGTCCACAGTTCAAGGTGTTTGTCCCTCCTTCCAAGTATTTCAGCGTATCTCGCCTCAGCTGTGTGGATCTCTTCTATTCTCTGCAGCCATTCCGTTTTGGAAGGTGGCTGGGTTTGCTTCCATTTCGCTGGGATCAGTGCTTTGGCCGCATTCAGCAGATGTCGTAGGATTGAGCGTTTGTATTGTGTCAGCTGTCCCGTGAAGAAGTGTAGGAGCACAGCCTCTATGCTAAAGTCTGGTGGATCACCCAGAATTGTAGTGATTTCCCGCTGTATCTCCTCCCAGAATGGCTTGATCCCAGGGCAATCCCACCAAATGTGGCGCAGTGTACCTCGCTGCGTTTCGCATCTCCAGCAAGTATCTGGAACCCCTGGGAATATCCTGTGTAGTTTTGCTGGTGTTCTGTACCACTGGGAGATCAGCTTGTAGTTCACCTCTTGGTACCTGGTGCTTATGGAGCTTTTGTGTTGTAATATGAGAATTTGCGCCCATTGGGCGTCTGTGAAGGTTCTGTCTGTCAATTCCTCCCACTGCCTCTGGAAGGCGTTGTTTCTTGAAAGTTCCCCTGTGAGCAGTTGCTGGTATATGCCCGATACTCTACCATCTGCCTCTGGATAGCTCTGGCAGAGGTGTTCGAACCAGGTCCATTCTCTGTGTACCGCTTCCCTATTGGGCAAATTGTGGTAGAAGTGTCGCAGTTGTGCGTAATGGAAACGGTGCATTACTGTCAGACGATCTGTGTCCGCCCAATCTTGAAGGCTGCGCAGGCTGGCGTTTGTCAGGACCGAACTCAGGGGTACATAACCCTCTGCTCCTTGCGTTGGCCACGCGTTCGCGTGTAGTCCTCCTCCTATGGTTACGTTATATGTCAGGGGGATCAGGGGGCTTGGCTGTGGCGAGATGTGAGCTTCCCTTCGCAGGGTGGTCCAGGTTTTCAGCGTCTGCGTCACAGGGGACTCCGCACCCAGAGTTTGTGTAGCCCCTGTCAGGCGATGCCAGATGTATGTGTGGAGTGCTCTGTTTGTGCTTTCCCTGTCCAGCCTCGTCCATAATTTGTTGGTGGGGGCCGTGTGCCATTCTCGAATTCTTTGCAGTACTGTCGCATGGAAGTATCTCCGAAAGTCCGGCAGGGCCAGGCCTCCCCATGATTTTGGAAAACATAGTCTGTCATGCTTAAGCCGTGGTCTCCCTTCCTTCCAGACATACCTCGTATTCTGGAGGTTTTAGACCCATTTTTGTTAAAGGGAAGTCAGTGATAGGCTGACAGTATCTAACTCTGAAACTTTCGCCTTAAAGCTGGGGTCGGAGGAGGAGACAATGGGACCTGGAGGATGGGTGATTGATCTCTGGACCAGTTTGAGGTTTAACTGTAAACGGTAATACATCAACAGGTAAGTATCTACCCAGTTTCCATAATCAGTGGTGGTAAGATAGTATGTACTTACCTGAACATGTTCCTTGTGGGTGCTGCCATCTTCTCCCAGCGGGTCCTCTTCAGCTCCCAGTGCGATGTCACTTTTGAACTCTTCCTCATGCGCAAGCGTACTGCATTGAGGTCTATGGAGGATCCTGCGAGACTAATAGATAACTTAAATTCCCTGCAGGGGTATTGACACTTCTATAGGTGGTAGCTCTGCACAGTATCTAGAAGTGTCAGGTGTAGGAATTATACAGAGACAAAGTAGTAGTAAGGGAACGCCTGCATCTGTAAGAAAAAAAAAAGGAGAGAGAAATATTACTAGTTTCGCATTATCACTGAATATTTGTAAATCACCTATAATATTTAGCATCAATGTTTCTGAAAATTATCCAGAATTATTTCATCCTAATTTGGAACTACAAATTTATATCTTTCAGGATTATTTTACCATTGATTAATATAAGCATTGAGGACATGGACTAAATCTTCAACAATAATGGTACCTCAGGAGAACATTTCTAATCTACTTATATTCAGGAAATATTTAAAATAAATATTCATTAATTTGATGGATTGGTCCTCTCTGGTTCTATCAATACTTAGACCAAGGAACTGGCATCCCCTGGTCCAATGACGTTTGGGCTAGGAAGCTTGTAGTCTGCATAGCCCAACATTAATATTACCTTCCACTGGTCCAGTGATCACTGGGCTTAGAAGCTTGTGGTCTACCCAGACCAACATTATTATTATTACCTTCTAAGAGGTCAAAGTGCGGAGGAAGAGGACAGGGTCAATCTGTTGTCTCAAACACAAGACTTTGTTCAATTTAACCATGTGCACATGGGACAACGAATGAGTGGAATTAAAAGCAGAGCTAATCTTAGGGGTAGGGAACACTGCGGATTTTATTTTTAAACCACTTATCCACTATGTACCACTGCAATGGCCATTTAAATGCAAAATCATCCGCAAAAACCTCTTAAGTGACTCCTAAGCTAAATAAATATCTTGTTGCTTTCAACTCACAATCAAAATCACTATTAAGACAAAGCATGTTCCCTACTAACAAATTTACCGTAAATAATGCACACATTGGAGACAGGTGACAAAACTGTAATTGTACAGGTAAGTATAAAACAGAAATTAGTACAAACTTAGCAATTTTGGTGCATACAAATCCTTATTTTAGTGTGTAAGAGGGTGGCAGCATTTATTATTTTGACCCAGGCAGTAAAATGTCTTGGGCGAGCCCTGAAAGCGATCAACTTATTTAATAGCTAAATCATGCATAATGATCACGTGTGCTGTGCTGTGTCTTGCGATACAGATCAGACTTATCGAGCCTCTTCACATATAGTAAAAAACAAAACAAAAAAAACATACAATATAAACCAAAGAAAAGAGTTACTTGTGCACTATCCCAAAGGTGAGCTTACACTTAAATGGCCATTGGAGTGATACTAAAAACCTCCAGTTATTAAATTATATATAGATTTGGGATAGTTCGCAAGCAACATTTTTCTTTGGTTTTTATTGATTGTATTGGGGCTGATGTGTACTATAATCATTGCTTCCGCCCAGGAGTAGTGGGAGTTTGAGCACAGGGCTCAATTTTATATGTCTGCTGATGCACTACATGTTAATATTAGGGCAAAGTTGCAACCTTATGGGGTAATTCCGCCCCTCCACACAGAGCACCAGCTGCATGTAAACCATTGGCAACAAGAGTGAGTACACTGTACTGTATATATATATCTATATATATTTTCATACTAAATATTTATATATATATATATATATATTAATATCAAAATACAGTTAGAATAAAAATTACACATTTGATATGTTTTTTTTTGTTTTATTATTTTAATTTTTTGGTCATTTGTTATAACACACACACACACACCTTTCCAATAAAAAGTCTCTAAGGTCTTGGCAGGAGATTGCGATAATGTATAAATTGTAGAATGTATTAAACAGTGATATTGTGTCATGCCAGATACATATCTATGTAACTTCTGAAGCTTATTTCCTCTATAGGGTTGGATTATTAAATGAAACATGCACTTTGCTTATGTCTGTCTTTTTATTTCTCTTTGATATGGTTTAATATGCTCTGATGTGTGTTTTAGGGTTTCAATGTAACACAGTGTAGTTAAAGGAACACTGTAAAGGGAAAAAAATGTTTGGTCATCTACAGGGCTGACACGCTCAGACTATAACCACTGCTCCACCAAATTACACCAAATTACATATTTGCAATCATCTGGAAGAGATGAACCCAGAAAGGGAGGGGAACTCCATTTAAATGTTAAACTGTTTGAAAATGGTTTAATACCTAAACGTAAAAAGGTGTCAGCGAACTCTGGGCACAGTAACCACTTAATTGACATGACTTGGTTGTGGTATCTGATGTGTTCCCTTATTCTGCATTTTTTCTTTGAGGATGCGGCAGCTTATACTGTGAACAGTCTGGATTTCAGTAGTGGCAGCCAGTACCTTCATGTTGTTAAACACCTGATATTGATTAACCATAGCGACATGCACTTTTGGGAGCAGTGGCTGCCCAGTAAAAAGCGCCAAGATTGGAAATTAGCTCTTAAAGGCACTGCAACTGCCTCATTACATTGAAGTGGTTATAGTGCCTGAAGTCCCTTGGCGCTGTCCTTGCATTCAGAGTGAAACTTATTTGAATGGATTACAAATAATAAATTGTAAGCTAGAAAGGCATAGTAGAGGATACAAGAAATAGTTGAGGGGGGACCCCTATAATGAATATAGCCATACACAAGAAAAAAGGAAAGGCCTTCTAGAAATGTAAATAACAAAACATAATCTTTTGAAGATCTTGTATAAAATGATGGAATCATAGAAAATGTAACAATGTGATCAATAACACCCTAATCCAGAGGTGGGCAATCTTCTGCCCTCCAGATGTTATGGACTACATCTCCCTTGATGCTTTGCTAGCATTAGGGCCCTAAGAGCATTATGGGAGATGTAGTCCAAACCATCCGGAGGGCCGCAGATTGCCCACCCCTGCCCTAATCGAATAAATATAAACCCACCTTTTCATAAATACGTCGTTTGGTTTAATGCTAATGGTAGTAGCATTACTGTCAAGAAATCAAGACTTGCAGTTTTTACATAAATCAAATAATAAGTATCCAAATAGATATGTCCTCATTCGGATACGTATTTGATTCATGTAAAAATTTCAAGTCTTGATTTCTCTGGTTTGCCTGTGGAACCCCCTTTTTTCTTTTTTCTTTTGGCTGGCATCTTTTAAGTGAAATAAAAAAAAAAACCTTAAAATGACTTGTTCATGCCCTTCTTGCACACTGTATGCAACCATAATGAAGCCTTAATCCTTGATGTTATGTGCCTTTTACCATGTTTATATGCTGGTCGTGACTATATAAAGAATTAAATAAAGCATGATATTATATAACTGAATAAGGCGTAGTAGCAAATTCACAGCAATAACTATCTTGCTAATGTTTATCATTGTGCTGAGAGGGCTTAATAAAAATATGAAAATAACTATTGTCTCTTTCATAACTCCACATAGCAATGACTTACTGGAAATCATGCTGTTTGGGTGTTCATGCATTTGATTGCTGAATACCTGTCACATACTTCTGATAGGCAGAGACCACAAAATAGCTACTCCTTCCTAGAGGCAGCTAGCATTTATAGGAAAAAGAAACACTGTGAGGAATGAATGGCATCTAGTGATAACATTAAGGTTTGCTCACTAAACAGTGAGTTGGGAACCAAATTTAGATTTGGAAAAAATTCTCTATTTAGTACCAACTTGTTTATTTTAGCCTATATTTTGCAATTTGGTTTCCATTTATTACGATTCACTGTATAATGAACAAATCCCTAAACTATTAAACATACAGACTGCAGTGATGTTAATGGTAAAAAAAAATAAAAAAATAATAACGATAAAAACTTGATTAAATGTACATACAGCTACTCATCCCTCACACAATGGATTATCAGTTTAGGTTATCACACACTTGTACTTCATGACAAAGCATACTTTACTCTGATATCGTTATTTTATATTACTCTTGTTTAACGTAAAAATGGTGCATAATTCCGGTTATGTCTAACAAATGCTACTAATCTTGTGTGCATCATATATTCTGCTGAATTACTATAGACCTGTAATGCACTGCAAAAATAAAGAATTATGGGGGCGGGGCTTAACCGCGGACCAGAGCGGACGCCATTACTCACGGCTCCGGAGATAAACTGCCTAATCCACCCAAAATCAGGGGCATCTGTGCCCATCCGACTGCCACAACAGGTAGACTCAACCCGGCACGACGCACGGAGCCGGTACATGCCTTTTTTTCTGCAACCCGGGCTGAAACGGCGGAAAAGGAGGCTTGCGGCCTACCACCTCCCCCCAGGCCTCGGCCTCGAGGAGTGGCAGAATCCGTCCCAGATACTGGGCACAAGAGCACAGCCAACTGCAACCCCAACGCCAGTGCTACTACCCGAAATGGGGAGGAGATCGCAAAGACCACCGCTGGGGACACCAGGAGATTCTAGAGACATTGGGGACATGCTCCAGAAACAGGCCCAAAGCAAGATGGCGACGATGGATGCAGGTACAATCACCAGTACACCTCAGACTCCCACACAGGAGGAGACACAGCCTCAATCTGAGCAACAAGGCAATGAGCAAACAGCACCACCTTACCCTGACTTCTCCAATCTAGCCACTAAGCAAGACATTAAAGCACTTCTAGCGGACTTTAGGCAGACCTGGGCAGCAGATATTGCAGTGATACAGACAGATCTGCAAATGGTGACTGACAGGGTCCGTACCACAGAAGAAGACATCATAGAGGTGAAGCAAGCTGTATCCCACATGGGAGACTCGCTCCAGGAAGTGAGGAAAGCCCAACAAGCACTCTCCTTACAACTTACTACGTTAGATGATCGCTCCAGGCGCAATAACCTGAAAATCAGGGGGGTACCTGAAACTATTACAATGGAAGAACTGCCCCATTATTTAAGGCGCCTAGTAACCTCACTCCTACCTCTAACACAAGCCAAAAAAGTAACGATCGACAGCATGTACCGCCTACCGAAATCAGCCAGGGCCCCATCTCAGGCTGTCAGCGACATCCTCATCCACTGCACATCCGCACAAGACAAGCGGGCACTCCTGGCAGCACTACGGGACCACACACCCTACCAGTTTGAGGGCTCAGGTCTGTCTTTTTATCAAGACCTATCACGGTCCACCCTACAGTGGAGGCGCACAATGCTCCCAGTAACAAGCCGGCTCAGGAATGCTGGAATAGCATACCGCTGGACGCCACCAAGATCGCTCAGTGTGCTTCACAACGGGACAGCTCACACTATATTCTCGGCAGAGGAAGCTCCAGCCCTATTTGGGAGAATGGGACTCTCCGCACCTCCTGATGACTCAGCCAGCACCCACTCATGGGACCCGACCACCATAGTCCCCTTCACCCCACGACGCCAACAACACGTACCACGGAAGGGAACAGGACTGAATACCTAAACACGGCTCACGTAAACAACCAAGGGCCGCATTATCAATGTTTTTGTACAAGTATTTTGTTACAAGTTTTTATCCCTGTTTGATACACTTACAAATGCTTGCCTCACTATCAGGGTTTTCTTAAGATAGGACACATAGGAGGGGAGTTACAACCCCCAACCCCGCGAGTAAGGGAGCCTACCACTCACCCATCCCCCCCGCATCCCCCATGGTTAGGGGAACACCAAGCACGAGCCTCACTATCTTCCAAATCCAGTGTAGGCAACAATTGCTCACCGCCTCACTCATGCACTGCTAGATGCCCACTCAGGTACGTATAGGCTCCCAACAATCCTAACACTAAAGCGACACATTATTAACAGGGCGGCTACTCAAAACCCTTACATGCCATAGGGCCCACTCCTCACCACCCAGGGTCTTCACAGCCCCAAAGAACACCAAAGATCCCAATCGGATCTCTCCAGTAGGATCTCCGGCACAAGATCTAGTAGCTACTAAGATGCAAAATGCCCAGCGACACACCTTAACACTAAAGGTACATAGCAAGTACCAGAGATACAGCTCACAGCCCGCGTCAGGTAATACTGCACTAAATAATATTTCTTCCTGATTTACAGCTCCCATAATACAACTCGAGCTCAGACAGCTAGAGGTCCGGCTCAACCAGTTAAATCTATGGTAACACGACTATACTACTGTTTCGTTTTTTTGTTTTTTTTTTGTCCCTATTTAAACTCCATACACATTGTCTTACCCAGTGGTATTCGTAGCCTATAACAACTGTATTTTGGCCCCAACCCAGCGGCATGAAAGCATGTTGTTGCTTTTCGACCCACACACTTATACATGGGGCAACCTTCACCAGCGGCCACGTAGCTTGCAACCTAACATTAAGGCCCATATCTACCCAACAGGCTTCCCATGTTGCGAAATGGGTAAATTCCCTGAACGATAACCCGTTTATATACAATCCCAAGCTAACATATAATCCAGAAGCTGGTTATACTTGTGAAGTATGCTCTTATTATAATACTACTCCCCTTTTTTAATTCTTTTTTTCAATACCAAAAATGCCAGTGCAACTACCTGTTTTGTACCATTCTTACCTGCTTATCTTCTGCAGAGACCTACATTACCATGTTCTTACCTGTTTAAAATTGTGCAATTCAATCCTATGTCATAATACTGAATGCCTTGATTTGCTTGTTACTGCCGTCGTGGCAATGCAGGCCTGTTTGTAACCATTTTTGCACAACAAAAATAAAGAATATATAAAAATAAAGAATTATAAAAAAATAAATAAAAAAAATTGATTAAATGTATTTTCATTTTTCTTTTTTTTTTTTTTTAAATTCTTTATTTTTTCGTGCATAAGAATGTACAAACAGGCCTGAAGTGCCACGATAGCAGGACAGGCTTATCAATAGGTACAGTATCGTGACTGGATTGAATTGCACATTTTAATTTTTTTTAAAAAGCGAATAAAACATTAAAGTGGAAACATAGCTGAGTATTGTATATCCACAGCTGAGGTTACAACGTATATGTTGGACAGAGAGCTTGTGCTCGGCTGAGGAACTTGGGGCTTGTATTTTACTGCTTAGTGGCAGAAGTAACGTGAATAACTTTAGTTATCAAAAATGTTCTACAGGGTTACGCAGAATATGAGGGCTTAGACCCTAGCGTACTCTAAGTGGTGTGGTCTGTCAGGTCTATGGAAGTGATTGGTCCTGTGTCTCCCATGCCGGCTGAATCGTGGCCTCTGTGTGGGCATCATTACGCTCCTTACATCATGTAGGAGGTCACCGTTAGGGGATAGCGTAGTGTGTAGGTTGGGGACTGCGCAAATTCCGGAGCGGTTGTTTGGGTTGGTGCGTCGGTAATAACTGGGTGGTTAGCTGGGTCATAAAAGTTTTACGCCTCTGAGTGTAGCTTGAGCGGGTTTGGGATTGTCTTGGGGTGCAGAGGCGGGGGGGGAGAAATTATGGGTGCTCTGTTGTTGGGCCATATTGGCCCCCGTCAGTGGCTATTAGGGTGTGTTGGCCATACAGTCATCGGAAACTTAAACGTATTTACAAGAACAGGTTTAACTAATAAAGCAAGTAATTAAAACAAGTAATTAAAAATATAAACAATCTGCTCAGGTTGCTTCTGTGGCCCGTCCGTCCGCCGGGATAAAGGGGGTGATCCTTGCTGGGTCCCAGACATGCGATGGCTTGGTGGCCCCTTTTGTGCTAGGCCCGGTAAGTGAGTCCTTCGGGAGACCCAGTGTTGCCAGCATGGCGGCTGCTTCATCCATATCTCGGATCTCGTGAGTGATGTTTCCCTGTGTGATTTGCAGTTTTCGAGGGGTACGCCATCTATACGGAATGTCACCGTTTCTGAGTGCTGTTGTGAAGGGTCGCAGGGAGTGTCTCCATTTGAGTGTGTCCCCTGAAAGGTCATTGTAAAACGTCAGCGACATATTTTCAAAACTATAAGGCGATGTTCCTTTTAATGCCGCCATTATTGCTGCCTTATCTCTGTTGCAGGTTAATCGTACCACTATGTCTCCAGTGGCGGTTTCAGGTGCTTGATGTGGCTTTGGGATTCGAAAAGTCCCATCTATGTGGACATTTTTGGCCTGTTTGGGGGTCATTAGGGCGCAAAGCAGTCTCCGCATCATGTGCGGTAGTTCCCCTGCCGGGATTCCGTCCGGGACCCCTCGTATTTTGATGTTGTTTCGGCGTCGTGCATCTTCCATGAGGGCAAACCTCTGTTCAAAGGTTGTCTGCTGCTTTTGAAGGCGCCGTATTTCCTCCCCCAGAGAGGCGATCTGTGTGGATTGTTGCGTGGCCGTTGTTTCCACAGTCTCAATGCGGCCCACTAGGCCCAAGATTTCAGAGCGCATAGAGGCCATGTCGGCCTGTAGTGTTTTCTGGAGGCCTGCTAGTAGGTCCTTTAGGGTGGCCGTTGTCACAGGCTGGGTGTCAGCACTCTGTGGTAGAGCCTGGGTATGATAGGGATGTGGCATGGAGGGTGACTCCCCGTCCAGAAGCGATTCACCCGAGGAATCCGTGAAGTCTGCGTAGTCGGCGGCCATCTTGGGTCCGCTCGCGCCATGCGCTCGTCGCAGGAGTTCCCCAATGTGCATGTTCGTTTTGGGCTTATCTGGCTTAAGCTTCTTGCTTTTGTGCCCCATAGGTAAGCCTGCCACTGTATTTAGGTCTCTGTGGGTGTTTTTTCGGTAGAGATTGCTCGGTTTCACACGGAGCCCATGTAATGTGCGTCCGATGTGCTTGGCTGCTTGGCTCCGCCCCCCTCATTTTTCTTTTTTAATTTTGCAAATACATAAAGAAACAATAAAAAAAGGCAAATAGGGGGCGGGGCCGGACCGTCATGCTGACCGGTCGCATGCTGGAGAGGCTCCAGAGAAATCTGGCCTCTTAGGCAAATCCTGTAGCTCTGATACCTGCAAAGAGCCACACAGACGCACACACGGTGGTGGTCAAGGTGGCAGACTCCGAGATCGGGAGTTTTGAGATCCTAAAGGGTTGAATAAAGCTTCGGGGACTGCGGCCTACTTGAGAGGGGAGAGGGGTCGACAGCAGCTTCCTTGTCTCCCCTCGCGGCAGCCACACGCTGACTACTTGAGACACCTGCCGGTACTATTTCCCCCCCCCCTATGGACCCCTATGGAGCTTGGGAGGAGTGGAGACTGAGGGGTAGGGTTCTCCCAAGGCCTACCTTCCAAGATGGCGGCAGTGTGGAGACCGACACCAATGGCCCCTGCCTCATGCAGCCCCAGAGGGGAGAAGTTGCACTGCTCACTAAACCGCACAACCGCAAAGCCAGTCCAGCGGTGAGCCTGCTGTTAACCCCGGATGGGGAGAGCTCAGCAAGGTAAAGCCACAAGCCTAAAAAGTATAAGCAGCATAGACAGCCACCAAGCTTACAGAAATGCCTCACAACCACGAAGGGGACGCACTACTATTAAGCAAAGGGAACCCTGTAATATCTGTGAAGAACTGAGGGCTTACATTACTCCAGCAACTCAGACTTTAAGTCTCCAGCGACAACCTTCAGGCACTCTATGTCACCACAGAGGCACACAACAAGAGACATACAGCGTTTGGGATACCACTTACAGCCCCAGATCCAGACATCTCTAACATCCACGGCAGCCATCGTTGGACTTTGTTACCACCTCCCCAACATGGTCTTACACAGACATATGTATCTGTACAGCAGATGGCTCGACTCCAGTGATCTTTATTATTATAAAATCTGTCTGATGCCAGCACAGAGACTCCACAGTGGGCAGCAGCTTCTCGTCTACCACTTGCCACCTAATATGCCTTGATATACACCGCAGCCATATTGTGATGCCTAACATTGTGATGCCTAACGTTAATATCTAATATTGCAGGAACCCACTCAGCTCCTGTGGTTGCTTGTCTGTTTGTTTAGTTTAGCGAATGCTGTAGAGACGTGGTTGTTAATACGTGTTTCTGCTACCTTTGAAAGCCCACATTTACTTACTTAAGCAGACATAAATGTTTAATGACACAAGCTTGTAGACCCCAATGTGACCCACCACATTAGACATGTTGACTCTGCATACACTCAACCTAATACTTTATCGATAGTACTTATTTAACTGTACCAGCCTCAAGTCCACACTGACATAAGTACATGTCTCAGACTAATCAAATACCTAATATCATCGACAGACATAACTTTTGTATTGCTTTTCCTTTTCTTATACAACCTGTGTAAAGTTACTTGTAAGCATGTTAAAAAAAACCAAAAACTGTGCAGTATCTCCTCATGCCATATACTGTCTACCTTGAGATGCTAGTAATTGCTGTTGTGGCACTTCCGGCACGCATGTACCTTTTAAGCACATCAAAAATAAAGAATAAAATAAAGGCAAATAAAGGGATACAGGCAAAATGTAAAATCGTCACCAGTTTAAGAAGAGACAGGCTTGCTCGATATGTTTATGTTAACTGATTAACAAATAAATCGCAATTAAAGCCTACAACACCAACATGAGACAATTCAAATGAATAAAAGAGATGGAAAGAGAAGAAAAAAAAGTAGATCAAGTCGGTCACTCTATGGTGATCAGAAAACAATTAAAAATCACACGCCTTAATTTATTGACGAGCAGGAGAACCAAACTATTTAGTTTAGAAAAACGTCGCCTGAGAGGGGATATGATAACATTATACAAATATATTCGGGTCCAATACAAACCATTGTGTGGAAATCTATTCACAAACCGGACTTTACATAGGACACGAGGTCATGCGTTTAGACTGTAAGAAAGAAGATTTCGTCTAAGGCAAAGGAAAGGTTTTTTTACTCTAAGAACAATAAGGATGTGGAATTCTCTGCCTGAAGAAGTGGTTTTATCAGAGTCCATACAGATGTTCAAACAGCTACTAGATGCATACTTGCAAAAACAGAATATTCAAGGATATAATCTTTCAATGTAGGGTAATAACTGCTTGATCCAAGGATAAATCTGACTGCCATTCTGGGGTCAAGAAGGAATTTTTTTTTTTGTTGTCTTGTTTTGGATCAACAGCAAAAAACAAATGTGAGGAAGGCTGAACTTGATGGACGCAAGTCTCTTTTCAGCTATGTAACTATGTAACCTGGTCTGACCGACCTTACAGTGAAGTAGTGAGTGTTTTCATAGCATGCAATTCTTCAATGTTGGTGATCCATTGCTGGAGAGTGGGAACAAAATATGTCTTCCAGAGTTAGGATTAATAATTGAGCTGCATTTAAAAGATGCTTCATTAAAGGACCACTATAGGCACCCAGACCACTTCAGCTCAATGAAGTGGTCTGAGTGCCAGGTCCCCATAGTTTATAGTTAATCCAGCTTCTAGTGGCTGTCTCCCTGACAGCCACGAGAGGCGCTTCCGCGATTCTCAGTGAGAAAATAGTTTTTTGTACCGGGGTGTTAACCCCTTCAGCCCAGCTAGAGGGGGGCCCTGAGAGAAGGGGGACCTAATAATCCTACAGTACCAGGAAAATGGGTTTGTTTTCCTAGCACTATAGTGTTCCTTTAAGACATTTTTGTAATTAGCAATTATAATAGGATAGTGATGAAAAAGCATAACTCATGGAGACTAAGGGGTGTTCGAATTTGTTATTTGATGTTATTTTCCATTTTAAAAGAACATGTATTCCTAATGATATAGTGACCTGCTAGCTGTTTAGATTAACACCCCACGTGTGAAGTAATAAGGTTGTTTACTTACCTTTCTCCATCAATGTGGTACTTGCTCCACAGCCACCCTGCATTCATGGCTGAGATACTCAGTCCTGATCATTTCATTCACGTAAAAGTGTGGGACGTTAGTACATATGCACAGCGAATCCCCACGCAGGACCAATCACATGGTGCTGATTGGGAACCGAGGCTGACTAATTTCTCGCAGTGAAACACCTGTAGTGGCTGTCAGGAAGACAGCCACTAGAGATAGGTTTAATCCCAAAAAGGAATAATTTGCAGTTTCTACAAAAAGGCATTGTTTTAAATTGCAGGGTTAAAACTAAAGGGCCACTTCACCCAGGCATTCCATTGAGAGTTGTCCGGTGCCTTTAGTAGTTGTCTGGTGCCTTTCAACACCACAGATAGTTGTAGAACAGATACTATCGGCAAAATCAGATATTGTGTGCTACAATAACAGGCCACAAAATAGGTATTCATAACGGTCTGGCAGTTTAATACTACTCTGTGTATATAAAACCCAAATATAGAATAATGAGCACCTAAATAACATACAGTGATGACAGAAATATGTACAAGTTAAAGGTAAACTCCAACCACAGTGATTTAAAGTGGGCAGGGTGGCAGGAGTATGTATATGCAGTGCTTCAGCATGAAACACTGCACATACAGAGAAATATGCACTTCTGTGCTGGGGGCTAGTTTCATCCCTGGCAGCCTGGAACTCTGTTCTGGACTACTTAATGCCAATTATGTGTATAAAACACGTCCGTTGCCAGGGCATACAGCATGCTGCCAATGAATTGCTTGTAGGCAAAAATTTTACTTCCCCTTGCAGGCAAAAATTGCTTGTTTAAAAAATAAATATATAAATCCCACCCTATCAGTCTCTATACCGACTGCCTCTCAACTTCCCTCAGCAGCTCAGATTGCACGCATGAGATGTCTGTGATTGGACTGTGTGCTGCCCTGGCTTAAGTCAGGAAGAAGAGTGGAAGTCAACCCCAGGAGCTTCGTCTGGCGCTGTGTTCCAGGTAAGTTAAATACTTTTTTTTGCAGGTTGGAGAGAGGTATCAAATTAATATTGCCTAGAAGGGCATTTTACACAGAATAGGTTCCCCCCCTCCCACAATGGGTTGGAGTAATAATTTGATCCTTGAGTCAATAACATTTTTGGACTCTAAGGGGGTTATGTATCAAAAGTGTCTTGTCCTGTAAAGTGGTGCAAATATGTAAAAGAGGTAGAGCCACCAATGGCAAATATCTCCTGGTTCCACAGGTTTCCATGGTAATTGCCCCTCCTGTAGTAATTATGCTGTCTTCAAATACAATAATAACAAATTAACTAGCTTTCCTCAACAACTGTTCTTCATTATTAAAGGACCACTCTAGGCACCCAGACCACGTCAGCTTAATGAAGTGGTCTGGGTGCCAGGTCCTTCTAGGGTTAACCCATTTTTTCATAATTATAGCAGTTTCAGAGAAACTGCTATAATTATGAATGGGTTAAGCCTTCCCCCTAATCCTCTAGTGGCTGTCTCATTGACAGCCACTAGAGGCGCTTGCGTGCTTCTCACTGTGAAAATCACAGCGAGAGCACGCCAGCGTCCATCGGAAAGCATTGTAAATGCTATCCTATGAGACCGGCTGAATGAGCGCGCAGCCAGCCGGCGGTGCGTAACGGAGACGGAGAGGAGGAGGAGAGCTCTCCGCCCAGTGCTGGAAAAAGGTAAGTTTTTACCCCTTTCCCCCTTCCAGAGCCGGGCGGGAGGGGTTCCCTGAGGGTGGGGGCACCCTCAGGGCACTATAGTGCCAGGAAAACGAGTATGTTTTCCTGGCACTATAGTGGTCCTTTAACAAGGAATGTACATGGATAACAAATAGTTTATCTTGCACTGAAGCTTTTACCTTCTGCGTGTGATCTGACCTCTGATTTCACATCTAGCAGTAATAAAAGAAAAGAATACATAGCCAACAGTACCCATTATCATACTGTAGACCATGTTTCAGAGCAAAATGTTTTTTGTACATAACTCCCAAAGTTTACATGTGAACCTCCAAATACTGCACCTTAAACCAAGATAATGGATAAAACCTCTAGACAACAGGACACCAGGTAAACAAGCAATGTGATTTTCAGAGTATTTACTCAACAACACTTTGAAAAGTCATGAGTATGCTGGTGATGTAGGCTGTGTTTAGTATGCAGGATGTAAGGCAGTTCTTCTGAAGGCCAGTGCAACACTAATTAAATGTAAGTTTTTAGGGCTTAGGAAACATTGTGCAAATTTTAGTAAATGGATATATATTTTTTTTTTTCACACTTGACTAGAGCTGGATAGTAGTTAATAGATTTATGCAAAAATTTGTTTGGAACTGTTCGACTGAATAAAATTCCTTTTAATCCATACATAAATGTATGATTACACATGTAAATCCCAGACAGATTGATTAGTTTAGGCATGTATTAAATGGTATTTCATTCAGGCCATCCACTCCAAGTGAAGTTTTGCACAAATGTTGTAATTTAGTAAATCAGCCATGGCATTTCTAAGATTTAGATTATTATTGTTGCTCTCTGTCCTAATAGCATGGACCACGTCATGTAAACCCCAATTCTGACATTATTTGTTCTTTCTATTGAATGGTCCCACTGATTCTGAGGGTCAGCCACTCCCCCTTCCCTTCTGCTCGCAGTGACAGAGGAGCGTCTGGCCTGCTTGAGCAGAGAAGAGCTGGAACTGGTAGTAGACGAGAGGCTAGAGGGAACTTCTTGTGTAGTGTGTTAAATTGGGGTGGAAGGCCAGTGTATTAATTTGAGGGAGTGGGGTGGGGGGGCAGTGTATTCATTTGAGAGAGAGAGGAAGGGAGGGAGGGGGCAGTGTATTCATTTGGGAGAGGGAAGGGGCCAGTGTTCTAATTTGAGGGAGGTAGTGGTGCAGTGAATTGAATTGGGGAGCTGGGCAGTGTATTCATTTGAGGGAGGTAGTGGTCCAGTGTATTGAATTGGGGAGCGGGGCAGTGTATTAATTGGAGGGAGGTAGTAGTCCAGTGTATTGAATTGGGGAGCGGGGCAGTGTATTAATTGGAGGGAGGTAGTGGTCCAGTGTATTGAATTGGGGAGCGGGGCAGTGTATTAATTTGAGGGAGGTAGTGGTCCAGTGTATTGAAATGGGGAGCGGTGCAGTGTATTAATTTGAGGGAGGTAGTGGGTCAGTGTATTGAATTGGGGAGCGGGGCAGTGTATTAATTTGAGGGAGGTAGTGGTCCAGTGTATTGAAATGGGGAGCGGTGCAGTGTATTAATTTGAGGGAGGTAGTGGGTCAGTGTATTGAATTGGGGAGCGGGGCAGTGTATTAATTTGAGGGAGGGAGGAGGTCAGTGTAATAAATTACATTTTCTGGTTCCCTGACGTGCTTTTGACTTCTCGATATTCTGCATACAGCTCCTTGTGCTATTTAAGCAGTGGAAACTGCCAATTCTGTTTCTTTTCCTTATTTGTTAGGCCTTCACCATGTGAGGAGGAATCCCACTTGAAATAACAGCTTAAGCAGAAACACTTTCTGGTTTCTATAGAACTGCAGATTTGCACTAGGTAGAGGATATTCAAGGCATATTTCTGAACTTTCCTGGATTCAGTAGGGTAGTTTGAATTTTGGACTAAGGTCTCCTCATCATGTGTTTTGTTTATTTCTCTAATCATCTGTTGTTTATTTCTCTAATGAAACACTGTCACACATACTGATACACATACACACAGATGCAAACACTGACATACATGCAAATACAGACACACAGATACAAACAATGACAGACATGCAGTTGCACATATACACTGACACAAACATTTTTGTATTTTTTGCGTACCCCCGTGGGCACTGGATCGTTCCCACGGGTTCTAGCTGAAAACAGCACGGTTGATTGTTAGTGTAGGAAGAGGTTTTGCCTTGACGTGGCAGGTGAGCTTACACTTAAATGGCCATTGGAGGGATTTTAAAAACCCTTCAGTTATTTAAAAGTGCATAGGGATTTGGGATGGTGCGCAAGAACCTATTTTCTTTTATCTATATTGTATGTATTGGGGCTG